TCTCCCTCTCGTCGGATTTCTTCACCACCATATCTTTATTTACTTTTTCCCCTATCTACATTTCTTGCATTTGTCGGACATCACCACCGAGTCTCACTATCTGACCCACCACCACAACTAAATCTCACTACGATCACAATCAGCACCACCAACAATACCGAATCTCGCTAATTCCGACTCACACCTTCATCAATATTTACCGCCGCTACCACCACCTAGCTTAAACCACCATCATCAACACCAACACCACTGTTACAATCTCTTATCCTCTTTTCCCAAATTTTCTTATTACTCCACCTTCTTTATCTCCTCCGACATTGGACCAAGCCTCTCTGACAATAACTCTAGTCTATGTCTATCGTTGTTCATCATTATTAATTTGCCTCAATTGCCATATATTTATTAGATTTGAATATCACATGCTATTTTTAGGAAAACATCGTGATTCAAAATATTTTTTTTATAATTGATATGATATTATATCGTTAAGAAATTAGTTTGCTTGATGAGAAAATATGAGACAATATATTTGTTTGGTGACTATTTACAATTTTTTTTCTTATAGGATTAATAATTGATTGTGTAATTTTCTTAAATTTTTTTAATTTTAAAATCTTTTTCTTGTACATGTAGTAACTTATAAATAAACGTTTACCATAATTTTATAATTTCGATTTTTTATGGAAAATATACATATAATTTCCTTATTAATTATAAATATAGTTTTCTTATTATAATCTTTTTATATTTTTAAAACTATGTAAATATATAGTTTTGTTATAATTATCTTTTAAAAACAAAAATTAAAAATTTTGTTTGTTAGATGGCAACAACTCTTATGGAAATATATGTACAATTTCCTTATAATTAGTTTTCTAAAAACAAATATTTTGTTTGCTAGATGGCAAAACTCTTATGGAAATATATGTACAATTTCCTTATAATTAAATTTTTACTTTTTCTTTCTCTTTAAAAAGAAAAATTTATTTGACACATGTCAAAATCTCAGATAGAAAAATTTGACACGTGTCACGATCTCCTGAGTTATTAACTTTGAAAACCATACTTTATATAATAAGATATATTTAGCATATTTAAAAATGATTGGCATGAGTAAATAGAAAACTTCTATTATGACACTAGAGACTTAAGCATAAAGAATTCTTTTGTCAAAATGGTTTTAAATTATCTCGTTGACTCTTTTGAGAAACTATCCTCACACTTTCATGTATTAAAAAACAGTGAAACATTGAATATTTCCAACCGAATTTTGATTTTCTCTACAATTATTCATTCGGAAAAGGTAGAGTAATTCTGCTAACATAAGTCATAAGCCTTAGAATAATCTTGTTTGCAGAAAATATCTTCTACATTGGGATTGGACTCTTGAACCATTATTCTTACTTCATAAACAACATCTGCACATATGATAATGAAAAGGTGGTAAATCTGTTAATATAAATTCAGAGACACTTTTTAAACGATATTGTCTAACCTTCAAAAGGTACCGAATTCCAACGGCTGCAGCTTTCGGCGGTCTATGCATCGGTTCATTAACTGTCTTGGCTGATTTAAAAGGAGCTATTGGGTCAGACACTGGATTCCTTCTTGCAGTTACTGTCATCTATCTATATTTTGAAACCTTCGAAAAGGAAAAAGCAAGCGCGAGCTAGGTTTCTTTGGTTTATAAAGCTCATTAGAGCCTAGACATGCATGTCTTAAAAGCTCTTAAACATATAGAGATCAACCTTAATTTTCCAGGAGTGTATAGTTTAGTTTCCAGGAGATAGATATCCTTCGGGCTTACACAGATCTTATACCATTTTTGGTTAAAGTGAAGCATCTTGTGTTTTATTTTTTCATTTTGTTCTACATTATATATTTTTCTACTCAACGTCTGAACATCTCTTTGAGTCAAAAGAAGTAACAATACACATTTAGGCCAAACATAAGATCTTCTTACGATTTACAAGACATCAAAGTAACCACAATTACGAAGAAAGCACATAGTTCCATAAATAAAGAGTTTCTGGAAACTTTAATACTTAGGTCTTACATGAACCTTATTACATTTTTTGTTCAATTGAAACATTTAAGACAAACATATGATCTTCTTACAGATCTACAACACAACAAAGTCACCATAATAGACAAGGAAACCACAGAGTTCACATTAATAAAAGTACAGAAAGACAACCTTATATGTTCGGTCAACGAGGATCAGAGGACGACAACTTGGCATGAGCTAGAGCGCCTTGGAATGGTAAGGAGTTCTCTGAGGATGACAGATTCCTTTCTAGAACAACCTTCCAAAGATAGAGTGACTTTCTTGAGGATTGGTGAGTTCTCAAGTAAGTAACTCACTAATTTCATCTCCATCCTGTCTAATGACGATTGTATCTTAACATACTCGAGACATGATAGGAGACGCCGAGGTCGAGGTAAAATAATAGTTCTCTCCTTTGGATAAAAAGTAGAGTCCTGATATAATAACCATGTGAAAGTAACAAATGTTTGAGTCATTAATTATGATACTTTCCCCATTTGCATTATTATACGGTTATACCAAAGGAAGTACATAAGTTTCAAGTAAACAATCCTTACCACGACAAGAGATTTTATACTCGGGCAGCACTCAAGAAAGAATGGCAATATTTCCCATCTGCCGTCATAGAAGTCAACACTCAAGGAAGATAGGTTACGAAATAAGCGCACTGGTTCACATCTTGAGTAATCATAAATGATCTACAACAACATAAACAAGAAAAAATATCAGGATAAACTTATACAAGATAAAGTAAAACAATAAAATAGCGAATTCAACATATATACGTTACCTCAAGAGTACATGGAGCGATGCTAAGTTTTTTGACACTAGAGATCCTGGCAAGAAAATTACCAATCATTTTTCTCTTTGGCAGATTCTTCGGATCAAACTTTTTTCCCACACAAAAGTTAAACTCAACATTGATATCCGCCTTTACAAGCGAACTCGAATTCTTTATAATGAAACTTGCAGTTGTATCATGAGAGAGCTTGAGATCCTCAAGCTTGGGAGCATCAATATCAACTATTAGATCTTTATAATGAAGCTCATGGCAACTGGGGCCGTAATAGTTGAAGCTCAATAGAGACTGAGACCTCACACGAAAAACTTCTACATTGTCAATTGGACATTTGCAGAAACTTAAGCTTTCGAGAACTGAGCAGCCTGAGATAAGCATTTCCAAAGCCAACTCATTTGCATACATAACCCATTCTAGATCGAGAACTTTGACATGCGGTAAAGACATACACTCAAGATTTGGCAAGACTACGACACAAAGCTTTAAAGAGACCAAGCTCTTACACATATAAAGTATTGGAGGTACCTCCACTGGAGCCCATGTAAGATCGAGATGCTGAACGTTCTGCGTAACAACAGCGTTGATCCACCGCGCCATATGAGCATTATTAGTCTCCTCATCCCGATCATTATCCATATAAATTCTTAGCTTAAACTTGTTTAAGCTTGAGTCACGGTTGAAACTCAGAAAGCTATCGATAAAACTCACAAGATCATTGAATTCCGTGAAATCACGATGATCTAAATCCAAACCAGGAACATACCTCCAGAGATTTCTCCATTTGCTGGATAAGACACTAGTCTTAACCACATCTTTTGTCGGAAGATTCAGGAGAACATGAGAAAGCAAAGATTCGGGCAAATCTCTTACCCAATCAACTTCATCACCAGATCTTTTGTCGGAAGATTCAGGAGAACATGATCGTTTGGTAGGAACACGTTTCTCTCCGTCTTCGTCCATGTACCTTCAAAATTGCGATGAAAGCGGCAAAGAGTTGGTGAAAATGAAACGATAACTATTAACCCTAAACCTAACAGTTCCGCTTTAACGGCTTCTAAGAAAGATAACGGAGAAACAAAACGCCGTTAGCTTTTTAAAATATCTCAGAATCTGGATTTTAGTGGGAAATTAGTCTATTTAATAATTTTAGAGAAATACCCTAAAATACCATATTATTAAGTTTTTTTTATAAAAAAGTTCCATCACTATTTAATTTTATTGTTTTCAATAATATCACAAATATTTGTTCAACAAAAAGAAATTACAAATAAAATTAGAAAACTGCATCTGGATTTGCTATTTCCAATTTAGATTTTATATTTTACCATTAAAAAGATATTTGATTTATTTTTATATTGAATTTTATGATATTATTGGAAAAAAAACTAGTAATGCTATTTTTCTTTAAAATGTGGTATTTTAGAGAATTGCCCATAATTTTATTAAATATAAATTTTTCTTTAACATCTACTTTTGTTTATTAAACAAACTTGGACTAAATGTTTCCATACAAAAACTTTAAAAAATAAAATTTTATTATTAACTCTTTTAATAAAATAAATTTACCAGATTTTCTAAAGCCGAACCAAACTAAATTTAATGATGTGTATTCTTAAAGTAATAAAACTACCTAAATTATCTAAAAGTTAGATGCGAATTTTTTTAAAATTTTTATTCAAAATATCCAAAATAATTTCGAGTTACTTGAAATATCCGAATATAAGTATGGTCCTTACCAATTCGGATAGTGTTTTTACATATCCGAATGATCTATACTTTACCAATTTTATCTGACCCTATTTTAAAAAGAATACACTTCCGATGTAATTTTTGTATTTTGATATCCTAAATATCTTTTTGATGACTATTATCTGATCTATTTATGAATCATTTTTGTGTGTTACCATTTAGAGCTTTACAATATTTTTTACAAAATTCACTTACATTCAACTAAAAGCGAGGATGAAGCAAAATACAATTGATAAGAGCATCTTCAACCTCATTCTATGTTTTGCTGAAAACTCTATTATAGAGTACTATTTTCTCCGACCCTACTCTATATTCCACTCTAAACTATTCTATTTTACAGTAAACAATAAAGTGAAACATTGGAAAAAATCTCTACTCTATTACATTAGAGATGGTTTAAGTGTTTAAGAATTAGCGTTCTTATTATCATGTGGAGGTATAACAAAACACATAATAGTTTATATATGAATAATCCCAACAACAAAATACTAAATCGGCCTCTTTTAATTAATTACATTACATGACCCCAACGAAGTCACCTACTTTCGTCTCTGTAACACTACAGTTCACTGAAAATTATCTACAAACTTCATCTTCGTTTACATGAAAAATCATTTTCAGATCTCATCAAGGTCACTGTCTACATCATCATCATCATTCGGCGTCTCGAAGTTCATCATAAACCTAAGTGAGTCTCCTTCCTCTACCTCCCATTGCTTCTTCAGCGCATTGATCGCTCTCGAAGCGGCCGCTGCAATCGCCGGGTTACTGTCTTCAGCGAGTCTCTGCAAAAAGGGTCATTCGATTGGTACTTTAATATCTTATCTAAAGTCCATCACTTTGCAAGAATTGTCATCAAGATTTGCATTTTATCTTTTACCTGTAATGCTCCCATGCCTGCATTTCCTAGTGTCCACATTGACGGTGCAGCTGCTAAGGCATTAGCCAACGCTTTTCTACAACAAGACCAGAAAAAAACCAAGGGATTTCAAATCAGAGAAGGACCAAACAATGAAATATTCGATGATCGTGAATAAAGAAACTGTGTCGGTAATATGAATCACTTTATTAATGCAAAACATCTACTGTCTATTAAGTGTTGGCCTCAACTTACTCTCGCATAACTTTTCTGTATCAACTGTTCCCTTATATAATTATAATCTAAACACTATTCATAATTCCGAAGGACTCGTCGAAGAAAGTAGTTAAGTGTTGGCCTCGACTTACTCTAGCATATATAATTATAATCTACACACTATTCATAATTCCAGAAGGGTAAAAGAATGTTAAGAGAAGAACTCATCGAAGAAAGTAGTTAAGGGACATAATAGAATTCCGGTGTTTACCTTGTATTGACATCTGGAGAGATTGAGCATTCAGCCAAGAGAGATGCACTACTTTTACCATCCATTGCATCAAGGTCAATCAGAGTTGTGACTAACAACTCAAGCTGTTAAAACCAAAATGATATGATCACTTATGAATAAATGTAACAAAAAGATTTTGGTATCGTCGATTATGGACCATACCTCTTCGGGGTCAGTGTAGTCAATTCCATCGGCTTCTGAGAGCGCTGATGCCATACTCTTGTAAGCTTCCTGTTTCAACATCAAAAAGGAAACATCAGAGAGAAGAATACTTAAGAACACATAGCGGTTTCCTGGTGAATCAGACCTCAATAGCAGATATGCGATCAGATGAAACTTCCCCAGGGAAAAACCCGAGAGCTATTCCATTCTTCTCAAGCGATATGCGATCCGTGGTACCGGTTTCAGATGTCCTTAAGATAACAATTTTAAATTCAGATCTTGATATCAAGAAACAACAAGAAAGAAAAAAAGGAAGTATCAAGGACATATGCTTCTTACAAGCTGTCAACCATTTTGTTCACCATCATGTCGTGGATGTTCTTAATGAACTGCACCAAAACAGGACAGAGGAAGTGTTAGCATAAGGGAAGATGAACCAAAACACCAATACTGTAACATATCAGACTTTGGTTTTACCTCTAAAGCCATTAATGCGTCTTCCATGGCCCGTTGTTTAGCACGGAAATCTGCTCGCCTTAAATCAGCCTGGAAAATCAGAGCAATAGTCTCTCAACTACCAATTCTAGCGAATAATATATGTACATTGAGTAGTTACTTTTTATCATGTCAATCTCGGATAGTGGATTATACTTTACGGTCACACATAACTTTCCACAAGTAAACAAAGAATGAGGCAGATGGGCATACCTCTAAAGCGCCATCACTCCAATGCTTATCAGCAGCATTTTTCAACTTAGACTCCGCTATGTTTTTTAATATCTATGAACATAAACCAAATAAGAAAACTAAGAAAAAACATAGCCAGAAGAAAGGTTAATAAATGTGGATAAATAAATGAAAGGATTAGCATACAGTAGCAATATGATGAAGGCGCTCGGCCTTTCTCTTGACATCACGATCTATTTTCTCTGTATCTTCTCTTGCCCGAGCTACATGATAAACACACAAGACAGGGTTAGGAAGCAGTAAAAGATTTATATATTAGTGTGAAAGAGAAACAAATCTTACCATCAAGTTTAAGGAACCCGGATCCAAGAATGGCAACATCCTGGCGTGCACGAGCATCAAGTCTCATAATACCTCTGCAAAACACAAATCTCAACACATAAGGGACCTTCAGTAATGCATAATTTCTAGATGATATAACCGTTGGATATACGAAAAATACCGAGATAGAAGAACAAGATCATTACGAGCCCTTTCATTCACAAACTTAGCATCATTAGACACATATTCAACCAAAAATTGGCTTGAGTTACTTTTCCTCCTCGGCATCACTTGCTTCTCACCTTCTTTTTGTACAACTTGAGAACTAACACATCACCAAGAAACTTATAAATAAGTATGAAACAAAACCTGACCAGTTTTGAAACCAAAATGGCTTACTTAGTTTCTGTGTCTTGGGATTTTCCAACAAAGCATAATGTAGAAGATCTTCGAGAACTAACAAAAGTGACAGTCTTTATACAACAAAGACCTTGCTTTAACTCTTCAACAGATGAACCCTTTTTAGCAGCTAAAGGATGATGAACAAACGCTAACAAAACTCTTTGAGATCTTGAGGCATTAACACTCTTTGCTAAAATTGGACTCTTAGGAACAATCTTGCTCACGTTAAGAGCCATTGAGATAAACCCTATAAAAAAATCAAAATTGATTCACATTAACTTATAAAGTAAGAGACACAAATTAAGGAGCTTTGAAATCAATTCGATTCTAGGAAGACATAAAGATACAATTTTTCTCATATATTAGAGATTACCCACTTGAATCAAACTCAAATTATTGATATTTAAGACAAACCCATCAAAGAAAAAATGAGAATTGGAGAGATGAAACAGTGAAGAACACAGAGTCTCGAGAGAGAGAAGAGAGACTAACCTCGTGGGAAGAAATGAAGAAGAAGAGTAATCTAAAGAAGGATTTAGGATTTTAGGGAGAAAGAAGAAGACAAGGAAGGAGAATTATGGGATTGGAAGTGAAAATTGTAACCACAAGAGTTACTTGTGGACCAGTGTGAGCCAACCATGCCGTACGTTTTCTTTAACTATAAAATCTATTTCGATTCTCTGGTCATTGTAGAGTAGAGTGGGCACCACCAATCTTTCCCTTCTCATAATAATATTTTGGTTTAGATAATTTGGTCGTAGTTTAGAACGATGAATTTTTGCTTGGTCAGGTATGATTTATAGTTAATATTTTTTTTTTTTGTTAAAGATGATTTATAGTTAAATTTTGAAAAGAAAAAAAAATATCCAGCTACATTACATAATACGTAACACATAACTATACATTTCAGGTTTAAAAACATATAATCAAAAATATGAATTCAATACATCGTATGTCTATATGTACTAACTTTATAATGAAATATATATCGTTAACATCACGACCATCTTAATCTAGTACCATTCGTTGGAATCAAGCGTTAATCAAAACTAATCGGCGTTGACTAACAAAAAAATCAAATTAAATGTTTTATCAATAAAAAGAAGTTAAGTTTTTTTTTAAATTGACAATGTAAATATAAGCAATTACATAATTGATTATAATATGATCTTTTCCGGTTTTAATTTAAAGTTTAATATCTTATAAAAAAATATTATTAATTTTGATTCCAATGTAATCATGTGAGATCTGGAGAGTGTACACATATTGCCCAGTATTCACCGGTGGTTTTTACGATCTCATGGTTTCCGTAGATAGATTTTTTTTTCAATCTGTAGTACCTTATCTTTAACTAAATCGTTGTCCTGAACGGGTCTACCACAGCCGCTGGTACGAAGTACCAGTTCATTCTATGGGAAGACGTAAGTGTTATGGAATTCACATTTCATTAGCTATTCTCAAAATTTATGAGTTATTATTATAGAACATAATTTATAGATTTGTGTTTTGCTTTCATGCACAAGACACATAGCCAATAACTACATCAATTCCAAACTTTCATAGCTATATATTCATTGTATTTATACGATATTCAGGTTGCTGTTATTTTTATATCATCGAATATTGGATTATTTTCTTGCTTAATGCCTTACACCAACATCCTAATTTCAGAATTGTGATGATTTACTAGTCACGCAAAATTTCACATTTACTAGAAAATTTTCCTATCTATTACAATATATTTGAAATTGTATAGTATAGTATGGTAGTATATGAATATTACATCTAAGATATTTAAAAAAAAATGCTAAGAATTATGAAAATAGCCTAAGTTATATATTAAATTTTGAAAAATAGTCAAAATTGTTTTTTATAATTTAACCATATATATATAGTGTAAATTATATCCTTGAAATCTAAACTTTACTCCTAGATACCTGAATAATATTAATTTTCATTTGAAAAATATTACACCTAATTTTATTTTTTATTCTTCCCCTCTTTTACAGCAAAAACTAGTTCATGACCCGCACATACGTGCGGGGTTTCATATTTTAAAAATATTTTTTACAATTTTTCATTCAATATAGATTATTTTGTTGTTTTTATGATATATATTTTAGTGTATTAGGTCTAGACCCACACGTACGTGCAGAGATATTTTTCTTAGAAATTATTATATAGATTGTAAGATAAAATATTTTGTTATGTTAGTGAACTTCGTTATAATATAGATATTATAAAGTTAGAGTAATGAACGAAATTCAGTTGCGTTAGTGCATAGTTATATTTTAAGATTCGGACCTACACGTACGTGCAAAATTATATTTTAGATAAAATTAAGATATTATTTAGTTGCAAAATTTAAGTAATGTTACGTTTTTATTTTCTAAACTAATCAAAATTTTCTAAAATTTAAGTGAGTTTTATAGATTAATATGTATGCGGTTAAAGTTACAAATATTTTAACAAATTTATTGATGTTTTTTTCCATAGCTAAATTTTGCATATTCTTCTTTTCATTGTTTAATCATAATTAATTTGATTTTTGGACTAAAAATAAAAATTTGAGATACATCTATATAAAAGGGAGCTGCTATTGCTGCATAATTTGTGTTGAATGCAAAATATAGAATTAGTTTTACATAATTTCGAAAACTGTGTGCAATATATTAGGGATTTATTTAAGGAAGATCCAGTTGAAAAGGACAAAATAAAACACAAAATATTTCAAAATTAATATGTACAATCTATTGTTTAGATATTTTCGAAACTTGCTCTAAATGAAGGCTATAATGATAATTTCTCTAAATTTATTATTATTTGAGTTTATTTCGTAGTAAATATAAATATTTGTTAATATCTAATATGGTTTTTTAGAAATTGTGAAATAAAATTTCGTTTTATATTTTAAAATTGTAAGAATATTATAACAAAACTGATCATCTTAAAATATATATATTTAATTGTTTTACAAAATTTCAAGTTCAATCTTAAAATACTCCATTGATAAATCTTTTCAAACGATAGTGTTTTTAATTTTGAATTAAAATGATATTATTTTTATTTTTGATATACAATAGTCTATTAGGATTGGTTTAGAGAAAATCTTAGTGGATATCAAATCTTATTTTTTCAATTCTCATTGGTTAACAATTTTTAGAAATTAATGTCAAAATTTCGTCCATAATTAATAAGAAGGAGAAAGTGGGTTTAATTTTTTGGAAACTAATAATTAATTAAAAGAATTTTACTGTTTTTTATTTAAATATATTAATTTTATGATTACTATTATATCCTTAATGAATTTATTTAAAAACACTAAAAACTAATGGCATCTTATGTAATACTTTACCCTTCATAAGGTTGTTTAATATCTAGTGATTCCCAATTAATAGTATAGATATGGAGATATATTTCCTAATTATATATATTTTTCTTACCATCTCTAGTTCCATTTCTTTATCTACAATATACTATTGAGGAAATATAAGTATCATAAGATATTGGAACGACAACAAATTCATGCACCCAGCTATATATATTTTTTTTTTTTCACTGAATGGATTGATTATATTGATAGGAAATACAAACTGACATCACACAACCTGTGTACAAACAAAACAGGATAGTGGACGAGAATGGTAAGAAGAAGATATACCATTCACCAAAAAATGACCTACAACAAAGACCAGAAACCAGAGAGAAACAGGGACCAACCCAGCAATTAAGATGAAATTCTCTCCTCCTCAAAAACGTGTTGTAGCCAACGAGGGTGACCAACTGCCACATAAGACTGCATTCTATCCTCACGAACAATACTCTGAGCAATGAGAGAAGCTCCTCTATTCGCTGAAGCTTTTTCCTCCATCAATCTCCACTCCAAAATCTTTTCCAAAAAAAGATGAATTTCCGAAAAACATCTGATAATATTAATAGTAAAAAAGTTAGAAAAATGACGTCAAAAAAAAAAAGTTAGAACGAAGAAGTGTTAAACCCAACCATTTTTGATTTTGACTTGATAAAAATCTTCAACGCTCCTTTTTCTCCTTCTCCGTCGCTCTCCGCCGCGTCCGAAATCCCCAAATCCTCCGATCAATTCTTCCCAAGTAAGCTTCTCCTTCTTCTCTTCTCTTCTCTTCTCAGATTGTTTTGTAAGTTCTTCGTATATTTATATTCTTCACTTCCACAGTTTTTTTTGGTTCTTGTCGATCTCAAATCATAGAGATTGATTAACCTAATTGCTCTTGTTCTAGTGTAATGCAACAGTATTAGGAACTTTCACCTATGATTAACCGTTAATTTGAAGATTCGGATTCGAATTTTTCTGTTTTCGAGACTGAGAAAATGGAACCTAATTTTTGTAATCGTTGTGATCGAATTCGATTCTCACAGATTTTCTTGTTCCTAATGATTTATGCAGCGATTTCGTCGGTGTGTGTATGTAATTCATAATGGAAGTCTGCAATTGTATTGAACCGCAATGGCCGGCGGATGAATTGTTAATGAAATATCAATACATATCGGATTTCTTCATAGCGATTGCGTATTTTTCTATTCCTCTTGAGTTGATATACTTTGTGAAGAAATCCGCGGTGTTTCCTTATAGATGGGTACTTGTTCAGTTTGGTGCTTTTATTGTTCTTTGTGGGGCGACTCATCTTATTAACTTATGGACTTTCACTACGCATTCGAGAACCGTTGCGCTTGTTATGACTACTGCGAAAGTGTTAACTGCTGTTGTGTCGTGTGCTACTGCGTTGATGCTTGTTCATATTATTCCTGATTTGTTGAGTGTTAAGACTCGGGAGCTGTTCTTGAAAAATAAGGCTGCGGAGCTTGATAGAGAAATGGGATTGATTCGAACTCAGGAAGAAACGGGACGGCATGTTAGAATGTTGACACATGAGATTAGAAGCACGTTAGATAGACACACTATTTTAAAGACTACACTTGTTGAGCTTGGTAGGACATTAGCTTTGGAGGAGTGTGCATTGTGGATGCCTACTAGGACTGGGTTAGAGCTACAGCTTTCTTATACACTTCGTCACCAACATCCCGTGGAGTATACGGTTCCCATTCAATTACCGGTGATCAACCAAGTGTTTGGTACTAGTAGGGCTGTGAAAATATCTCCTAATTCCCCTGTGGCTAGGTTGAGACCTGTTTCTGGGAAATATATGCTTGGGGAGGTGGTCGCTGTGAGGGTTCCGCTTCTCCACCTTTCTAATTTTCAGATTAATGACTGGCCTGAGCTTTCAACAAAGAGATACGCTCTGATGGTCTTGATGCTTCCTTCAGATAGTGCGAGGCAATGGCATGTCCATGAGTTGGAACTCGTTGAAGTCGTCGCTGATCAGGTTTGACATTTCCTGAGAATTTCTCTTCTATGCTATGTTTATGATCTTGTCTAAAACTTTTCTTCTCTTATTCTAGGTGGCTGTGGCTCTTTCACATGCTGCAATCCTAGAAGAGTCAATGCGAGCTAGGGACCTTCTCATGGAGCAGAATGTCGCTCTTGATCTAGCAAGACGGGAAGCAGAAACAGCAATCCGAGCCCGCAATGATTTCCTGGCAGTTATGAACCATGAGATGCGAACTCCGATGCATGCGATCATTGCACTCTCTTCCTTACTCCAAGAAACGGAACTAACCCCTGAACAAAGGCTGATGGTGGAAACAATACTTAAAAGTAGTAACCTTTTGGCAACTTTGATGAACGATGTCTTAGATCTTTCAAGGTTAGAGGATGGAAGTCTTCAACTTGAACTCGGAACGTTCAACCTTCATACATTATTTAGAGAGGTAACAGTATTTCTTTACAGCATTTCTTTCCTCTTGCGTGTCATTGTTTGAACAGCTTCATGTTTTAAAAGTTGTATGTGCACTTGATTGATAGTTCTGAATCTTGTTGCAGGTCCTCAATCTGATAAAGCCTATAGCGGTTGTTAAGAAATTACCCATCACACTAAATCTTGCACCAGATTTGCCAGAATTTGTCGTTGGGGATGAGAAACGACTAATGCAGATAATTTTGAATATAGTTGGTAATGCTGTGAAATTCTCCAAACAAGGTAGCATCTCCGTAGCCGCTCTTGTCACCAAGTCAGACACTCGAGCTGCTGACTTTTTTGTCGTGCCAACTGGGAGTCATTTTTACTTGAGAGTGAAGGTTAGTATCTTTCACAAGGAGCTTGTATCTTGGGATCTTAAACCATAACTGAACTTGTTTCTTAGGTCTTAATTTTGATGATTATTCAAATATAGGTAAAAGACTCTGGAGCAGGAATAAATCCTCAAGACATTCCAAAGCTTTTCACTAAATTTGCTCAAACACAATCTTTAGCGACGAGAAGCTCGGGTGGTAGTGGGCTTGGCCTCGCCATCTCAAAAAGGTTTAAGCCTTGTTTAAAAACGTTTATTTTCTTTCTATATTTTCTTGTCTGGTATTGATAATGCTCATATGCGTTTAATATGACAAGGTTTGTGAATCTAATGGAGGGTAACATTTGGATTGAGAGCGATGGTCTTGGAAAAGGATGCACGGCTATCTTTGATGTTAAACTTGGGATTTCAGAGCGTTCAAACGAATCTAAACAGTCGGGCATACCGAAAGTTCCAGCCATTCCCCGACATTCAAGTTTCACTGGACTTAAAGTTCTTGTCATGGACGAGAACGGGTTAGTATAAACCTCTCACCTATCTCTTTGCAAAAATCTCCGCTTACTTCTTGCAAATGTAGAAATTGGCATTTAGAAAAAACCGTAAATTTAATCTTATGAGAAACCGCTGATTTTTTTGGTTGCAGGGTAAGTAGAATGGTGACAAAGGGACTTCTTGTACACCTTGGGTGCGAAGTGACCACAGTAAGTTCAAACGAGGAATGTCTCCGAGTTGTATCCCATGAGCACAAAGTAGTCTTCATGGACGTGTGCATGCCCGGGGTTGAAAACTACCAAATCGCCCTACGTATACATGAGAAATTCACAAAACAACGCCACCAGCGGCCACTACTGGTGGCACTCAGTGGTAACACCGACAAATCCACAAAAGAGAAATGCATGAGCTTCGGTCTAGACGGCGTGTTGCTCAAACCTGTATCCCTAGACCACATGAGAGATGTTCTGTCTGATCTTCTCGAACGCCGGGTTCTATACGAGGGCATGTAAAGGCATTGCCCCGGCCCCCAGAGGAGTAATTCCGCTCCCGGCTTTTTCTCCCGTAAAACATCGGAAGCTGATGTTCTCTGGTTTTATGTGTACATATCAGAGATTGTGGGAGCGTTTTGGATGATTATCTTAAAACACAAAGGGAATAACAAAATAGAAACTCTAGACCGGTTTGTGCCGTGGCGATTCCGGTTAAAGAGGAACAAGATGTTGGTGGTATAATCATACCATTTCATATTAAATGTTTGACTGATGTTGTATCCTTATATATATAGTCACATTCTTATAAGAATTTGGATCGAGTTATGGACGCTTATTAGTTATTGTGTGCATGTATGATATTAAAGTTTTTGATCCGTATTGTAACGTCAATTATAAATAGAAAAATGCCAAAAAAAAAAAAACATTCCTAAGTCCGGATACCAAAAGAATTAAAGATGGATTTAGAAAATCAAAAAGATTTTTTTTATTTTTTAACATATGAATTTATTATTTTTTTTGCAAATTATGAGAACAGTTACGAAGACGACTATACAATTAACAATTCCTTCCGATATTTACTAGATTTACGACAGACGACATTTCTTTCTTCATGCTCTTGATAGACACCTTTAATGATCTACGATTTGATGACACTTCCCTCTCTGCGTAGAATCTTGGCGAACAACGACCATAATTGTTCATCGTTAGAGATCTCATGTACACTTGTCTCCATTAATCTGCAAATTTGCTTATAAATCGCAATATATGGGACTTAAATCTCATACCTGATGTAAAAACATTAATTAACTCTTGGTCAACCAATGAACTAAGGAGGCTTTACTCACAATAGACTTTATATTAGGTTTTTTTCGGTAAAAGTATTTTATTCTGAAATAATTAGATTAGATAAGTTAGGATAAAGATTATAACATTAAACTAAATAAATGGTTAACCCAACTCAACTCAACTCATTACCCAATGAGTTTAGAGTTAAATGAGTTCATGGGTTGACTCAACTCATTTGGCTAAATGAGTTGAGTCAACCCATGAACTCATTTAATTTGATGAGTTACAAGGTTAAATGGGTTGACTCATTAACCTACTGATGTAATAAATAAATTAATAATTAAAATTACACATTTTTGTTTTTGGTTAAAAATTATAAAATTTTGGCGGGAAAATCACGGATTTACGTTTTTGGCGGGAAAATTACGGATTTACGTTTTTGGCGGGAAAATTTTGGCGGGAAATCACGGATTTACGTTTTTGGCGGGAAAATTACGGATTTACGTTTTTGGCGGGAAAATTTTACATTCTCATTTTTGGTTAAAAATTATAAAAAATTTTGGCGGGAAAATCACGGATTTACGTTTTTGGCGGGAAAATTACGGATTTACGTTTTTGGCGGGAAAACTTTACATTCTCATTTTTGGTTAAAAATTATAAAAAAAAATTGTCGGGAAAATCACGGATCTACGTTTTTGGCGGGAAAATTACATAGTTTCATTTTTGGTTAAAAATTATAATTTTTTTGGCGGGAAAATTAAGGACTATATTCAATCGGTTTATAAGTTTTAGTTAGACTCAAATTAAAATCGGTTTAGAGATTTGAATTGGTTTGATTCAATTTAACAAAAATTGATGGATTAAATGGGTAAACCATTGAAACCATTGACCCATTACAACCCAACTCATTTGATCCATCAACCCATTTGACTCAATAACTCATTTGATCCATCAACTCATTTGAGTCAAAATTTTCAACTCATTAGAGTTCATGGGTTGAGTTGAGTTGGGTTGACCCATGAATCTTGACCCATTTTGACACCCCTAAGTATAATACGTTCAATTTTTTATATATATAAATTAAAATATAATTTTATTTTTATAATTTGTGTTATTCTAAATTTTATATCTAAAAAAATTGCGAAACAAAATTGGGTAGATTGTTAATCTTTTTTCTTCCTTTCTATCTCCAAAAAATACAGATTAATCATACATAATCAAAAATAATACGTAATATAACTTTTTTTTTTGCTACCTTCAAGTTTATAAAATTTTGATAAATAATATGTTAAATCGAAGCCTCAACATCTTTAAAATTTTAAAAATCTGATATATATGACTGCGAAGACGTTTAAAATATTTGTATAAAAGTTATATTGCACATTATTTTTAATTGGTATATTAATTTGTGTTTTTTTTGAATAGAAGATAAAATTGTAAAATTGACGAATTATATATATATTTTTTTAAAAAACCCTATCTTTGAAGAGAAAAAATTTAAAATTTAATTATCTGCGTATAGATAGCTACGAATTATAATATACGATTCCGAATTTGAACAATCATGCGCCGCTTCGTAGAACAACAACAACAATGGCGTCACTTCATTCCTCCATCAAAACCATCTCCAAAACTCATCCATGGCTTCTTCTCCTTCTTCTTCTCCTCCAAAACTAATCCAAATCCAAACAAACAACAACAAATCCTCATCGACTCCATCTCCAAATCCCTACAATCCAACGATAACTGGGAAACTCTCTCCACCAAATTCTCCTCCATCGATTTATCAGATTCTCTCATCGAAACAATCCTTCTCAGATTCAAATCCCCCGAAACCGCGAAACGAGCTTTAACCTTCTTCCATTGGTCAGCTCACATTCGAAATCTCCGCCATGGAATCAGATCTTACGCTGTCACGATTCACATCCTTGTCAAAGCTCGATTACTTATCGACGCTCGAGCTTTAATCGAATCGTCTCTGTTGAATTCATATTCCGATTTAGTCGATTCGTTGTTAGATACTTATGAGAATTCTTCTTCTACTCCTTTAGTGTTTGATTTGTTAGTTCAATGTTATGCTAAGATTAGGTATTTGGAATTAGGATTTGAAGTTTTTAAGAGATTGTGTGATTGTGGATTTAGTCTAAGTGTGATTACTTTGAATACGTTGATTCATTTCGCTGCGAAATCGAATCGGATTGATCTTGTGTGGAGGATTTACGAGTGTGCGATTGATAAGAGGATTTATCCTAACGAGACGACGATTCGGATAATGATTGAAGTGTTGTGTAAAGAAGGGAGATTGAAAGAAGTTGTTGATTTGTTAGATAGGATTTATGGTAAGAGATGTTTACCTTCAGTGATTGTTAATACGAGTTTGGTGTTTCGGGTTTTGGAAGAGAAGAGAGTAGAGGAGAGTATGAGTTTGTTGAAGAGGTTGTTGATGAAGAATATGGTTGTTGATACGATTGGTTATTCGATTGTTGTGTATGCGAAAACGATGGAAGGGGATTTGGAGTGTGCGCGGAATGTGTTTGATGAAATGGTTAAGAGAGGTTTTAGTGCGAATGCGTTTGTTTATACTGCTTTTGTTAGAGTTTGTTGTGAAAGAGGTGATGTTGAAGAAGCGGAGCGGTTGATGAGTGAGATGGAGGATTCTGGAGTGAATCCGTATGAAGAAACTTTTAATTTTCTTATCGAGGGTTGCGCGAGGTTCGGGAGAGAAGAAAAAGGTTTAGAGTATTGCGAGATTATGGTTGCGAGAGGGCTTATGCCTAGTTGTTCGGTTTTTAATGAGATGGTTAAGAGATTAAGTGAGATTGAGAACGTGAATCGCGCGAACGAAATCCTAACCAAGTCGATAGATAAAGGGTTTCTGCCCGATGAACATACGTTCTCTCATCTGATTCAAGGATTTGTAGAAGGAAACAGTATCGATCAAGCGCTTAAGCTGTTCTACGAAATGGAATACCGAAAGATCTCTCCTGGTTTCGAGGTTTTCAGATCACTAATTGTGGGACTTTGCGCTTGTGGTAAAGTTGAAGCCGGAGAAAAGTACTTGAGAATTATGAAGAGGAGGTTGATAGAGCCTAATGCAGATATATACGAGGCATTGATTAAGGCATTTCAGAAAATTGGCGATAAAACGAATGCTGATAAAGTTTATAATGAGATGATTTCAGTCAGATGATTCAAAATGATTTTAATCTCCATGTAGCTTCATCTTGGGAAAACTTGATTTTGTATCATGGGTCAATGATCCAACGACCATATTTATTATACTTCCATTAGACAGAAACCAGAGGAAAATAAAGCTAAAGCCATAGAACAAGAGATCGAAACAGGGAATTGCAGAAGCATAAGCTTCACAGTTCACCCTCTAGCTTCATTCAATACTTGATTATATATATTTAGAAATTTGTATGGAAAAAATATATAGATGTAATATTTTAAAAAAATGTTGATATCATGGTAGAAATCAAGGAGGGGTTATTGGTTTATGGATTTATAAGGAATTGGAAATCCAAACAAAAATCATTTGTTTTTCAATCATAAATTTTAAAATCCTAATTAAAAGTTGTTATTCAAAGTCGTTGGGCGTGAAAAGTTGTATCCGACCGGTTTTAACCCACGACCCGAACGCTTCTCCGGTTTAGGTTTAGTGTTAATACCAGGCAATTTCAAAAACGGAAAAATCCATAAAAATCTGTCATTAACCCGCGATCCGGTGAACTCGTCGAACTAGCCGGGTATGGATTTCAAAAAAATCATTTGATTTTGGAATAAGTTTTAGACTTTATTCAGTTATTTTTTTAAAAAATAATTTAGCTATTAGACTCATTTGATGTTTTAGATTTTATAAAAAAAAATTCACAATACCGCCCGAGGAGAATAAATGGAATGGTGAGAGAGACAACCAAGATTAGTTGTTTTGAATTTGCGAAGTTTTATTAGTTTAATTTTGTCACTGGTGATCTCCTACTATTTTAGTATTTGTTACGGTTTTAGACTTTTAGTTGGATTTAAAAATTTGAATCACTTTATTATTATTGTTAGACTTTATATTTTATTAAATATAATATGCTTATTTTTATTTTTATTTTATAAAAACTATATAATCTCTATAAATATAAAATAAATTTTAATCAGTTAACCCGTGGTCAGCCCCGGTTGACCCAACAATCCGATGACCCAGAAAGTAGTCCGGTTCACCGTCTGGATCAGGTTTAAAAACATTGGGTGTATATGAAGATGACTCGAGGTGGAAAACTTCTCTCATTCTTTGTAGTAAATTCTTTCAAAATGTCTCCTAAATTTTTCTAAGTGACTTCCATTTTTTATACTTAAAAGGGTTTGGATTCTTTTGGATTTTCGAATATTACGATTTTGGGATATTGCTAGACACTATCGAGTGAAAAAAACTCTACTATATATCCTCTGTAAACATTCTTAGTAAATAACTAGGTCTTGTAGATTTTATTAGGTAGGCTAAGTTATTTAGCATGATTCTAAGATATATTTTATCATCAATCTCACTATTACAAGTGCTTGAAGCTGCAGTTCTTCCAGTTTATCGTGCTTGAACTGGACTTGAATGTGATATATATAGTTATTGTAGGTTTTGGTCCTTCAGTTTTGGTTTGTTGATGCCTTATCCAAAGGAAACGTTGGTGCTTAATACAAAACTAAAACTCATAACTAAAAAAGATCTTCAATAGCTTGTCCTAAATTGAGCTCATCATACTACACAAACCTACAGAAAAAAAAAGACTAACATAAATTTAGGGTGATCAACATCTATGCTATTATTATTTATGTTGGTCACTCATCTCACAATGTTAAAGTCATATGAGAAAGGGCTCCAAAACAATATTGTTGTTAATTTGCTGCAAGAGAAATATTCCACCATTGCTTTGTATAAATAAATAAGTTAATCGAAAATTTTGCATGTGTATAGAAAATTTCAGTTATCAACTTCTTTAAACGTTCGAAAATATCTAATTTTAATAATGTTATATATATGTTTAATAATGTATTGAAAACGAAAATATAAAAAGAAAATATTATAGATGATAGATTTGATCAGGTAAGATATCACATGCATGTATATGAAAGTTGTATCGGATTCCTTATTATTAGAGAATACAAAGTTGCAACCCCACCACCATATGTCACATGAAAAGGCATGTTATATTTGTTTTGGTTAGACAACAATTTTAATGGTCCTTAAAGTTTCTCCTTCTTTATTCCCTAATTGTTCCAAGCCTCATTTTTTTTTTTTTTTTTTTTTTTGCAAGGTAAAAAGAGAAGTCGCAAAATACGTTTTGATATTTTTTTTACTAATTCATGTTTTCTAAGGAATTTTAGTGGATTAAATATATTTTGGTAGATTTACAAGCCGGTGGAAATAAAATCATAAAAATAAATATTTTATATCAGAAAATTAGTAAATCAAGAAGCAATTTCTTGAAATTATTAGTCTTGTTTAGTATAAATAGTGACGGTAGAGAAGTGGTTTCTCTAGGATGATACATTACCACATCAACATCTCAAAAGTTGTCACATGTACATTCTACTATTCCAAACAAATATCAAAATTCATAGAAAACTAGAATCTCTGTTATTTTCACGTTTTACCCGACGCGTTCGGCCTTCCTTTACATTAGTTTCAAACCCTAACTATTGATGTTTTTCTAACTCCAAATTAGCTTCTCATGTGTTTGTAACAACGATGAATAAGCGAAAGAAAATGGATGAGAAATTTCTATGAAATTTATTGACCAGCACTAGAACCTTTCCGGTATGAATTTAGCATGCTAATTTTCATCTTAAATTTGTATAGAATAATCTGGTTTTTGTTAGTTATGAGGAAACAATAAATCTGCATGTAATGCGGGCAATTACCTCTACAATATAATTTGTTACTCGAACATTTTAATTTATTTTGAAATTTGATGTCGAAGAAAAATGAAGTATTTGAATAACGTTCTTTTGTTCTGTTAAAATATAAATCATTTAAAATATAACATAGCATCTTTGTCTTAACTAGCTTTTGAAGGATAATTAGAATTTAACTTTCTTATTTATTATTTCCCAAAAAGAATGTAACATGTAATTAGACACTAGAGAAAAGAATGTGACATGTAATTATTAATGCATCGTCGATGCATGTGTAACACATGCAGAGAAAACGATCATCGTGTTGTATATATTTATTGTGTCCACCAAATACCAATCTATTAGATTACCTTCTTCAAATGAAACTTAGATAAAATGAAGTAAATGTGATAGATTCCCTTATTAATTACCAACAAGCTAAGTTATTATCATATCAAAACTTGAATAAAATGAAGTAAATGTGATGGGCTCCTCTTTTAATTACCTAAAGCTCTATATATGCATGTACTATGCAAATATTGGTTGCTTGCAATTGTCCTGTCATTGGTGGAGACATATAGTGGCTCAACTTGTTTACTACAAAATATAATTTTGGTCTTGTGAATTGTGATGGTAGGTTATAAAATTTCGTGATGAGCTTTCTGAAAAATGTAGGGTCTCCTAATAAATCTTATGTATCATGATTGGTTGAATATTCAATTCTATCGGTGAAAAGCGATTTACCATTCACAGACTCACTATAATATTACCTTCATAAACTATATTTTCTTGGTGACACACTGATATCTTGGGTCTGATTGGTAACCAAAAGCTGTACAAATTTTTTAGCTATTAGCTGGAGCTGTAAGCTTTACCGGAACAGTGTAAAGCTGTATGAAAGAGCTGTACGAGAAAGCTCTACAAAAAAATCTGAGAATAAAACTGTTTGTAACGCTTTTGATAATGTTTTTGTGATTGATAACTGTCAAAGTTGTATATTTTGTAAAGTTTTGTACCGCTTTGTAAAGCGGTTACCAATCACTACCCTTGTTTTTCTTTGGCCAAATATTTTTGTGCAAACAATCAAATTTAGGTATCAGAGAGTTAGTGTCGTGCCAATGTCAATAGAAGCTTAACACAAATTTTAAAATTGTGGCTTTGTATAATTTGTTTACACAAGATTTTTTTCATAATATATAGAAAAAGAAATATTACCTTTTTCAAATATTTTATTTAAAAACGAGATTTAGTGAGTTAATGTTATAAAAAGAAAAAAAATTTATAAATGTTATGAGTTTATTTTCGAAGAAAACAGTCTTAAAACACTATTTAAAAGTAAATAGTATGCCTAATTTTGATAAAGATCTTTTAAATAGTATGCCTCTTAAGAGTGGATAGGTTTATGTTTATTATATGAAACATTTGACTACTAACCTGATTTTGTATTGTTCAATGGAACTCATTAGATATTTATTTAGTGCACATAATTAGGAGGCACCAAAAATGGATTAATATTGTCAAAAAAATGTCTATTTCATGATTGTCTTTTCTCTTGTAATAGATGAATAGACTTAATTAGATAGGGAAATTATCGTGTCCCCTAACATCACAATAACTTTACGAAAATGCCAGTCAATAGACCAAAAAAAAAAGTTCTCACTATAGTTCGATTGGTAACATAAAATGGGATACAATTTTTAGTGGATAAAGCTAGCGGCTAGCGGTACGTACATAGTTAAAGTTGGTGCAAAGTAGCGGATAGAAAGAACTCTACAAAAATTTGAGAATCTTCTTATCTCGTTTTTGGTATTATTTTTGTGATTGGTTATAACGGAAGCGATACATCCTTACCGTAGCAGTATGAGGCTACCAATCACACCCTATAGTAACTTTGAAAATTTTTAGCCACTTTTCATTAGATTCTCCGGAAATTAAACCTTGTTTGTTAGAAGAAAACACAATCGTAAGATAATAAAGTAAAAAACTTAGGTACTTTCATTGCATTCCAAAAAATTATAACTTCTAATTCACATCAAGTAAATGAATAATTCACAAACATAGGGACCACACGCTTTTAAGATTACTTTTAGAGAAACAAAATATTGAAAAGCTTGTGACTGATGATAATCGATCGGAGATGGGGCAAAAATATGAGAGCGACAAGGAACGTGAGTCACATGGAACGCTCGATCATATTATACAGCAAACAGAAGTCCCCACACCAACATGAATTGGTGTCATATGTATGAATGTGAAGGGCCAAAATCATCAAAAAGAAAGTGTTGTGTCATTGTGGACCTTGATTAAGGGTAAGCTCGTAATTTTTTTTTTTTCTATTTATATTTTCTTTGGTACCAATTGAATTAATTTTTTCCGAAATCGGCTATGAAATTATTGGCCTCTTTTTTGCCCCACCATAACAATCCAACCACTTTAATTCCTTCTTAGTACAACAACGGCTACTTCACTTTAACATTGTCTAGCCTTTTTCTATTTTAAGTCAAAATCTTGACAATGAACATGACCCCTTAGGAATCCACATTAACCATATTATTATCGTACATATTTTAGGTTGTTAATCATCCCAGCTAATTCGTTCGGATAATATTTAAGAACAAGATGGTTTGAAATATTGGCATTGTTTCTAGCCACTTGTTTATGAAACCATTTGTTACATGTTTACTTAAAAGTCAAGTTTTAAACCCAAAATACTTATAACGTGTCCGTCAATATAAAAACATTTCATTTGATAAGTGTCGAAACAATTATTGGTGGTAAACCTTTAGTTAAAAACAAGAGAAATTCATGACGGTTTCGACTTGTCTTAGATGTGGAACAGATGAAAAATCGATTAATTATGCGATTTTTAAATGTTCTTATGTCCGTCAGACTTGGACATTAGCACCCATCGGCAATTGATGCATATTATCTGATTTTTTTTTTGTAGAAACCATAAGAAAAATCAAACGTGAAAGCTGAATTTTTAACCCGAAAACTACACTACAAGAGGTATTGAATACTTGAGAACTAAAAATCACACAAAAAGTTTGGGAGAGAAAATATTTACTAAAAAGAAAGATTGTTTTGTTTGTGGTTTTCTAAACTAAGACAAAAGTAAAATGTAAGTGAATGAAAGCAAGCAACAACTATAGTAAATAGTTTGCAGATAAGAATTAAAGGCATTCGTTCACAGGAAATTTCACATGGACTCAAATCAAAATTATCAAATTAACATTCTCTCTATTCTCTAAAATCAAAAGGAACCTTAATTTTAATTTTCATTGGCTAAAGAAAAATGATTAAGAAAGTTTTGTTTAGAGATTTTCACATACATGTTTTGAGGAAAAGTCTCCTAACTAGGCCATAATGATCAAGTCTAATCTACCAATAATAGCAAAGAAAATAAAGAATCTAACAACATTTGGACCTAGACATCAACATCTAACCACTAGTATAACCTAATCAAGCATAACCCATAATCACAAAAAAAAAAAAAAGAATATCCACACAAATTAAAGACATATAATTAATATAAAAAATTAAGAGAAATGAAAAACATAATTTAATCAAATGATCAAATATGGAGGGATGAAAAATTGTTCACTATTGCAACAAGGTAAGATGTTGATCTTCATTAAAAAGGTTTGGAAAAAGTATTTAGATCTAGAAACATACTTAAAGAGTGAAGCTTTGGTGAAGGGTGAAACTCCCAAACCCGAGTTCGATTCTCCCTGGAAACAAAAACACATTTGTTTGGGAAGTCTGTCAGTTGGGTCTTGGCCCAATTGGTTTACCTGGTAGTCAGAAATGCAGGCGGTCTGACTACCCCTGGCATTAGTCGGAAGGCATTCCAAACTCGGATCAGGCAGTGTGGTGGCCCAATTCTACCTGGATCGGGAGAAGTCCACTCTGTAGCACATCAGTGCGTTCCTACCGAGGCCGACCGGATCAGCCGATAAGGTTTATCAAAAAAAAAAAAAAAAACATACTTAAAGAGAATAAAGCATTGTTTTAGAAGTCCTAAAACTAGCTTAAATAGTAGTGAAATTTAGATCGGCTAGACCCTTTTGTGACGAAGACTTCACAAATGATATCCGAGCTGAACTCATAAGAGTGTGAAGTGATATATGGACAATATTTGTTCGAAATGAGGATATTTCGTTATATGTATGGGTGATTGTAATACCCTGAAAATAGTTGTGTATGTGGAGAAGCTTAATTTTTTTTTTAAATTGTTTGTATCTTCTTGTAGCTCATGCCGAAAGAACTCCACATCTAATTATGGTTATTTCAGAGTGATTTTAGGATGTGTGCTGTAACCACACTGTTGTCTCGAAAGATTTTGATCTTTTTTATTTCTATGTATTTATTCTCCATCGATTTTCTTTCAAATATGTCTAAAAACAAGCGTATAAAAACATAACAAATTTATGCATAAACAAACATAATACTAATATCGCTATTAGGAATATAGAATCATATAACTATCCTTGCTGGATTTTTTTTGACAACATTCTTAAGTCAACTATTTTTTGCAAACGACATTTTTGCATGCATGTTGGTTAGAATTATTTTTTCGCACCTAAAAAGATAAGCAAATATCCAACTAATAGCTTCTTTTGCTTTGTTTTTTCAATCTCTAATGTTCATATTTACTTAATACTCATTTCTTTTGAGGAAGAGTGTCAATCCGAACAAAATTAAGAAACATATATTGTTAATATGCTGATTTGAATTCGTGTGGTAACACAATGACGCTTAATTACAAGAATGACCAAATTACATGTTTTATTTGATTAACAATTTTTTTGTATGAGTAAGATACATAGGAGTTTAAACTTAGACGGTGTCACATCTGCACTAGTACAAACCATTAAACTACGTACATTTTTGGTCAATTAATAAGTATATAGTAAGTTAGTAACATATACAAATATGACCACAATCATAATACTACTAATTAACTGGTGATGATATAAATTCAATATGTGTATTAGAAATATGGTGTGGAATTCTACATTAGAAATGTGAAACGTGCAATGACATTTGTTTGCAACAAAAAAATACCTTTTAAACGTTATTCTATATGAAATGGTGGAATTGGTAAAAAGAGGTTTCATAATATTACCAAAAGATTATTCACCCGATAACATAGAAACAGAATTCTGAAAAAGATTTCCCTGATATTTGTAGTTTATAAATATATTTCTATATGTACGTAATGTAAGATGATAAAAAGTTTATGAAGATGATAAAAAAAAGTTTGAATAATAATCACAACACAACACATAAAAGGTAAATCTCCTAATCATCAAAAATATAAAATGAAATGGATGTCTTTGTAGTTGAAAAACAGGGTGGTGGTTGGCTTTAGATATTGGACTCTTTAACCTAAATTGTTTCTTAACTCTACAATACAACTTCCAAATCATAGCTGCTTAATTACAATTCAACTTTCAATATTGATATAGAAATCTCACAAATCACAAAATAATCAAACCCCGAAAATTAGTTGTTTTAATTTCTAATCAAAATAATAGTGATATACTATAGATTTCGAATATCTCGTTCAAATAATGATGTCAGATTGTCAGGTTTACATCAATCAAACTGAATTTTCTCGAGAAGAATATTTTGAAAGTAAAAAAATTATTCGAAGAAAAAGAAGAGAAAGGAATCTATTATTTACAGTATATTATATAAATAGGAAAATAAAATATGTAAATAAATTTCCTTTTATAAATGCTTTAGATTGCGGTTGTACCACGGCTCTGCTCTTGCTTTTAAGAACTTGCCGGTACTAAATTTCATATACTCCAATTAAAAGCTTGCTCGAAACCCCAAAATATTTTTTTATTTTTCTATAAAATAATAATCATACATTAAAATAAAAAATCATATCATTATTTAAAAATAGAATTTTATTATTCTTTCTTCTTCTTCAATTATTATGACACTCCCGTGTTCCTAATCTCTTCTCATATTCTTCTCTTTCTTCTCAGCTTACAAAATCTTGCAAATCTTTTTAAACCACAAATTTATTCAAGAACTCTTAATGAAGAGAGAGCACAACCACCGTGAATCCTCCACCGGAGAAGGTGGGAGCTCATCAATGACGACGGTGATTAAGGAAGAAGCTGCCGGAGTTGACGAGCTTTTGGTGGTTTTAGGTTACAAAGTTCGATCTTCCGACATGGCTGACGTGGCACACAAGCTTGAACAGTTAGAGATGGTTCTTGGTGATGGAATCTCGAATCTTTCTCACGAAACTGTTCATTACAATCCTTCTGATCTCTCTGGTTGGGTCGAAAGCATGCTGTCGGATCTTGACCCGACCCGGAATCAAGAAAAACCCGACTCTGAGTATGATCTTAGAGCTATTCCTGGCTCAGCAGTGTATCCACGTGAAGAGCACGTGACTCGTCGGAATAAGAGGACGAGAATTGAATCGGAGTTATCGTCCACGCGCTCTGTGGTGGTTTTGGATTCTCAAGAAACTGGAGTGCGTTTAGTCCACGCGCTTTTAGCTTGTGCTGAAGCTGTTCAACAGAACAATTTGAAGTTAGCCGACGCGCTCGTGAAGCACGTGGGTTTACTCGCGTCGTCTCAAGCTGGTGCTATGAGGAAGGTCGCGACTTATTTCGCTGAAGGGCTTGCGAGGAGGATTTACCGGATTTACCCTCGAGATGACGTGGCTTTGTCGTCGTTTTCGGACATTCTTCAGATTCATTTCTATGAGTCTTGTCCGTATCTCAAGTTTGCGCATTTTACGGCGAATCAAGCGATACTTGAGGCTTTTGCTATGGCTGAGAAGGTTCATGTTATTGATTTAGGGCTTAATCATGGTTTACAATGGCCGGCTTTGATTCAAGCTCTTGCTCTTCGTCCTAATGGTCCACCGGATTTTCGGTTAACCGGGATCGGTTCTTCGTTAACCGATATTCAAGAAGTTGGTTGGAAACTTGGTCAGCTTGCAAGTACTATTGGTGTCAATTTCGAGTTTAAGAGTATTGCTTTGACTCATTTGTCTGATCTTAAACCGGAAATGCTAGACATTAGACCCGGTTCAGAATCAGTGGCGGTTAACTCGGTTTTCGAGCTTCATCGCCTCTTAGCCCATCCTGGTTCGATCGATAAGTTTCTATCGACGATTAAGTCAATCCGACCAAACATCATGACTGTGGTTGAGCAAGAAGCGAACCACAATGGCGCCAATTTTCTCGACCGGTTCACGGAATCCCTACATTACTACTCGAGCCTTTTCGACTCGCTCGAGGGCCCGCCAAGCCAAGACCGAGTGATGTCGGAATTATTCCTAGGAAGGCAGATACTAAACCTAGTGGCATGCGAAGGGGAAGACCGGGTTGAGAGACACGAGACGCTTAATCATTGGAGAAACCGGTTCGGTTCGGGAGGATTTAATCCGGTTAATATCGGTTCGAATGCATATAAGCAAGCGAGCATGTTGTTGGCACTTTATGCCGGAGCTGATGGGTATAATGTTGAAGAGAACGAAGGTTGTTTGTTGCTAGGATGGCAAACGCGACCGCTTATTGCTACATCTGCGTGGCGAATCAATCGTGTGGAATAAAATAAAATAATGGGAAAGTGAAAATGTGTTATACTTAATGCATTGCTTATAAAAAAAAGTCCCACGTTTTCCAAATTTTTATGAATTCTAAATTTTGTTCAATTGTCACGAGATTTTGACCTCGCATAAATAGACTATTGTCTCTTTGAGGTCAGGTCAATGAAATCATGTCACTTGTTCCTCATTCGAAAGATATTTAAGGGATGTAATTTTCACAATCAGTAATGAGATGTAATTTTCAATAAGTGATCTACTAAACAAGAAAATTAATTTACGAAAAACTCTAATTTAGTTATGACTTTGATATATTGGAAATGGTTTTAAAGCATGTAATTTTTACTTATATTTGGGTGAAAAGAAAAAAAAAACTACATTGGTATAAAATGGGAATTACTATCTTTTATTTCGACCGTATAAGATGTGAATTTGATCAATAATATCTTTTTTTTTGGGTCAGCAGATCAGTGTATCCTTAGTGCATGATCTTCACACAAGATCTATTAATTAGTGAACAATTAATATTAATATGGATTTCTAAGAGTATATTTCACATTTCATCTTCTTTAGGAAGATTAATGTAGTTGTACGTACAAAATACCAAAAATATGATATATATATATATATATATATATATATATATATATAAGGTGATAAATATGGATTAATGTTTCAGGAGATGAACAAGTCATCAAGTTCTTTGAGAACAATGCTAAATTTGATTGGTTAAAGGGTCATTATCTCTCTAATTAAGGAGCACAGTGGTGTGTTTAAAATGTATTTGTGTTCTTTTTGACGTTGATATAAGTATCACCCACCGCCAAATCATACATGAGCGTTCTTGTTATAGCATGTTAACATCATTTTAAGAAAATGAATTTCGTAAAAAAAAAAAATAAAGAGAAGAAAATGATACATTTGTTAAAGCCTTAAGGATTTGACTAATTGAGAAAAATAAACGCTCTATTAGTAAGTATGACTAATAACACTAAAACCAGTGTTAATACATAAGACTAAATTTTTTTTTGTTGGTTTCAATTTGGTAGGTAACATTTTTTATAATCAATTTAACAACTACCAATTTTATTATTTTGGACGGAAATATGCAAGAATTGACAGATTATACTGTTCACAAGATAAAAAAGTTTTTGTCTGCAGAGATTGTTCAAAACATAAAATTATCGAAATTATTAGAAACTTGTGAAAGTTTAGTTTTTTATACATATATAAAATTTGGGAAACTAATATAAATAATGATAAAATTTAACAAATTTTGAAAAGCTTTCACAAGTTTCGTTCTAAAACTTTATAGAAGTTGTTGTTTATAACATACTTTATATTGTTTTCTAATAACTTTTTAAGTATAACCGATTTTTTATTTACCGATTGGTAAGGACCGTAGTTTTAAGATTTTACGGTAAAATTTTAGCAGTAAAAAAATTAACTGTAGAAATTGTGGTTGAACTTAAAATATTTAAAAGTTAAAAGTCTTATTGGTAACCAAAAACTATAGAAGATATGGCTGCTACTATTATTATTTCAATTTTTTTTGTCAAAATATAAATTATACTGGATTTGAATTTAAATAGTGACACAGTAACACAATTCGCACAAATTATATCTAAACTAAATACAAGTTTATAATAGATAATTTGTACGGTTTTGGTTTCGATTTGGATTAGGGTATATTCTTAATTTTAAAAGAAACTTTGGTTTAAAATCGTTTCTTTTTTTTGTTTGTCTTCGACTCATATTTGACTTTTTTATATGAAAAAAAAGAAATATATTTTCAGATTGAGGAGGTCACCGTCACTAGTGCCAACACAATTGATGTGGCTTCCGATTATGATATGTTTCCATCAATTTTTTTTTATAAATGGTTAGTTTCTATTAAAACCATTAAAAAAAAAAAAAAACTTTCTCAACATATATGTTCCTAGAAACGAGATTTTGATGGGCATCGTTCTTCGACGCTACAAAAATTTTAAAATTCTGTCTCGTCGAAAGTAGTTTTTTACTCCTACTTCTATTTTAATAAATGAAATTAAGGAGAATAGAGAATGATGCATTCCGGATTTGTTTAAAATGTTTCCAATAAGTTTGATTAAATTATGAAGCCCAATAAGGGAAGTTTGAGGCCTAACCCAACGCTTAAAACCCCTGAGTGTCTCGTGTGTGTATATATCTCTCCTTTTTTTTTTTTTTTTTTTTTTTTTTTTTTTTTTTTTTTTGTTTTCCGCAAAAAAAAAGCAAAGACCCGAGAGCCCTATCGAGCAGCGATCACCGTGGCTGCTGTTAACTTTCGTAGTTTCCGCCGTTGTTGTTGTCGTGTCGATCGAATCGGAACAGAAGCTTTCTTGTTGCTTGTCGTACAAGTTTCCAGATTTGGTTTTGTGTTTTGTAATTTTTCAAGAAGCCCTAAGTTTGGTTATGCACATGTTTCTTTTGCTGCAAGTTTCTAGACGTCAATTACCAACCGCTCTGACCGTTTCCAGCTGCTTTGAGCCAAAAATTAAAGGTAAGGCGAGATATGTGGGTACGCTCTATTGTTTTTTTGGTTCTTACGCTTCACAACACTTAAAAATAAATATGTTTGTTTAAGTTAGACATGGTGATGCTTGATAAGAATTGATTGATGATATTGATGATTGTTTGACTATATACTGTTGTTCATCAATAATGCTAAAACCAATCTCATGCTCGTCCAAATTTCAGGCACGTAACTAATCTCAAACTCGTCCAATCACTATGCACGTAACATAGATCTTACTCTTCTTTGAGACAGATTACATGGAGCCGATCAAGATGACCAAAGATATTTTGCAACAGCATTCTTTTTCAGATTTCTTAATATAATTTTAGTAATCATAGGAACAATTTTTTCTATTTTTTTTAGTTGTATATCTTGCACCAAAGAAATAAAAGCCGATTGATGTTTTTCTCTTACATATGGATTCAAAAGCGGTTCTGGATGTCTCTATACCTCCAGATCATTTTGTGTTAATAATAAAAAAAAGAAGAAGTAAATTCTTTACGAGGGTGTATTTAGTTCAATAGTATTGATTTTTAGTAGACAATATTAACTAATAATTTTTAAAAATCTCTGATTGAATAACATATATACAAATATACAATTTACTTTAATAAAGAAATTTGATTGAATTTGATTCTGTTTTTTTTTTGGCATTACTCTAATCTTATAATATTATCTAAATACTTTTTTACGATAATTTAATTTATCATTTTAATACCTTTTTATGAACTAATGACGCGTAAAAAAAGACTAATGACGCGTCGAATCCGCGTTATGTAATTAAAAGCTGCTAGTACATGAAGTCAATGTAGGAAAAAGATATAACGCCTTCTATGATATTGACTTTGGCAAATTTAAGTTTTTTAGGCTCTTATTTCGGACCATTTAAAGAAAGCAATATCTAGAAATGGAATATAATTTTACATTTTCTTAAACACGACACGAGTCATTTAGGAAAGAAACACGAGACTTTTTCTCTTTTGTTTTGACTGAATTTTGAGGTCCTTAACACTTCAGAGGTTAAAATGTCACTTAATCACAAAAAAAATTCCTACAAACCAAATTTTCTTTGATCTATTTTTTTTTTTTTTTTGCATTTGAAGAAAAACTTAAAAGACCAAAAGTTTACTCGGAAAGCAAATTCCTTTGATCTAAAGAAAGAGAGAAAATGGAGAATATGTTAGGTCTTCTAAGACTTCATGTGATTAGAGGTGTTAATCTTGCCATTAGAGATTCTCATAGCAGCGATCCTTATGTCATTGTCCGTATGGGCAAACAGGTAACCCAAATTTTCATCGTTTTTCTTCCAATTTACGCTTACATTTTCGAGTTCTTGATCGAGCTTTTTTTTTTTTTTTGGTTAAAGTAGTTTTGATCGAGTTTTTTTATTGGTTAAAGTAGTTTTGATCGAGTTTCTCAAGTAATTGTTTAATTGCTTCTTGATCTTCCCTAGTCTATATCTCCATTTTTTTTTAATGAATGGATCTTTGGTTATGAATCTGGTTTTGCTTCTTAGAGATTCTGATGTATTTATTGAATGAAATAATTATGGTCTTTTTTTTTTACAGAATTAGATGATTTTCATCCAAAAGTTTTGGCTGAATGGGTCCTTTAACTGAAACTTAGTAGGACAATGTTAGTTGTGAATTTGTAACATGTCAATTATAATCACATACTATAAACTTTCAATTTTAGGATACTAAGAACTTCCTAGGAATTTATTTATCAATAAAAAAAAATAAAGTGAGCTAAAAGACAAGCATTAATTCACCAAGTTTTTGATATGGTTATGAATCTGAACAAAGTTATTTCTCTTCTTTGGCGCAGAAGTTACGAACCCGTGTGATGAAAAAGACTTTAAATCCAGAATGGAACGAAGACTTGACACTTTCTGTTACTGATCCAACTCTTCCTGTCAAAATCGTAAGTGATTCTTCACTACAACAACTTGCTCTAGCTTTCTCAGTTAAAATCGTATTAAACACGATAAACTAGACCCTAGTAGATTCTTGATTTTTAATGTTTGAAACAGAACAACATAACAAGAAACTGAGTGTTTGTTTTTGTTGTGATAATATAGATGGTGTACGATAGAGACTGGTTCTCAAGGGATGATAAGATGGGAGATGCGGTTTTCCACATTGATCCGTTCCTTGAAGCCATCAGAATCCAAAACCAGCTTGGAGGACTCCCTGATGGTACCGTCATAATGAAGATACAGGCAAGCAGGCAGAACTGTTTGTCAGAAGAGAGCAAGATTGTGTGGCACAAAGGAAAGATTGTCCAAAATATGTTTCTTAGGCTCCAGAACGTTGAGCGGGGGGAGGTCGAATTGCAGCTTGAGTGGATCGATGTCTCGGACCATATAAGTATATAGGAGAGGCTGAGGATGTTGCTTACTAGATCCATTTTTGTACTACATGAAGTTTGTTGGAAAGTATACTACTTATGCTATATTGCTATGTAGAGAGTAAATAAAATCGATATTTCTTTTTGTTTTAAAATGTTAAATTTATATTTCTCATAGAAAAAGTTCTACTTAAAAAAATGAAAATAAAATTGCACAAATTAAAAAGAAAGTAGAGTGGTCAAAACTTGAGGGTGGTGGCTTCACGAGAGAGCTCTTGCAAACAAACCAAGATTGCATTGTAGTGAATATTTTTTTTGCAGTGAACTTTTTAATGAATTAGTTATTTTTACTCAATAATAATGGTTTTTCAAAATATTTGTAATTACCGATACATCTAAATTTGTAAGATAGTCTTAATTATCCAAACCAAATGTATTTTGGCATAAGAAAAAATTGAAATGTGGATATTAAACATGCACGTCACTTCCCTATCAATGCATTGCCTCGCGAGGTTACTCTCTATATATGTATATGCCTATAACAAGGATTCGATGAGTCACAACATACCTTTCTTTGATAATTTTTAACTTCTATAATTATTTGGTTAGATAATTTTAATATTTCTCTTTGGTCCATGGAGGGTTCGTCCAAAGGTTTGACAAAAGGTGCATGGACTTCAGAAGAAGATAGTCGTTTGAGGAAATACATTGATACGTATGGAGAAGGCAAATGGAATCTAGTTCCTTTACGTGCTGGTATATTATATATATATATATATATATATATATATATATATATATATATATATATATATCACTTATATTCGTATTTCACCCAAATTAACTAACAAGTTGAAAATAAAAAATTCGTGAACAAATGGGTGCACAATCATTTTTCATGCTTTAAGGTATGTATGCAATTATTTATTAATCAGATTGGCTTGTTTGATGTGTCGTTTAGTTTCACATATGTGATTTGATCATCGCACCAGCGCACCAGCACGTTGAGTTTAGTCACCGTCGTTATTCATCTTGACGAAGAAGCTAAAAATAAATAAACTAAGATAAAAATCGGACAATCGTTCCTCTCTCTTCTCTCTCTTCTTCACTTCCTTTTCTAGATCTAGGGTTTTCTCGCGGCCGCCTTTGTTAAAGAGCTTCATCGACGGAGGTTGGGTAGCGGCTGAAGCGGTGGTGGGTGCCTCTCTTCTCCGGTGGTGTGTGGTGTGGTGGATCTGTGGTTTCGATGCAAATCGGTGGCTCTCCTCACGGCAGCTATAAGATGATGTTCCTCCGTGTCTGCTGGTTAAAGGACGCCGGCGGATTGGAATAGATTCTTTAGGTTCGGCGGCTTGTGAGTTGTAGCTCCGGTGAGCGGCGGAAATCGGACTATGGATCGGTGGGTTCACCACTTTGCGAAGGGATTAACGGTGGTTCTTTGGCCGGATCCTAGATGGCGAGCTGCGGGTGTTCCTTGGCCGGATCTTGGTGGAAGATGGTTCGTCTGAGCCAACGACTCTCTTCCGCCGCCGTGGCTGGTTTTTCCTTCGCCGGATCTGAAGTAAGGTTTGCTCTAGGGGAGGTTTGAGGGTGGGCATCGGTGGAGGTGAGGGTGAGTTTCGATTCCTTCTTCTTGCTAGGTTGGGGAGATGAGGTATTGGGGCCCGGTTGTGGCGGTTTTCCCTTTTCCGAAAGGAATGTTCCAGGTTTGGCTTTTTTCTCAGCGATGGTTTGCGGCGGGGTTCGCTAGCTCAAGCCAAAAACTTGATGTCGAGGTTGTAGCCACAAAGGAGCCGTCCTTGCTAGCGTCGGATCTAGAAGGCGAAGTTCGTGTTTTCCGGTGTACTGCACGGAGCTGATCTTGTTTTCGCTGGTTTTCGTTTTGGGCCTCTTCTATTTTGTAACCGTGGTTGGTCGTTTAGCCCAACTTTCATAAGCCCATTTAGGATTAATAAATTAAATTAAAAAAAAAAAAAAATAAATAAATAAATAAACTAAGACTTATGGATATTGATTGGTTTTCCCACAACCAAAAAAAGTTGTGGTTGCTAGTTTTAAAACCATTCACGGAAATTGTTTTATGCTGTTCTGAGCCATTCATAACCGTTATATTTTAATAACATATTTTTATAAGTGTTGTGCCCGAAAAAGAAAAAGAAAAAAAAACATATTCTTGTAAGTGTTTGCAGGCGGATGATTCAAAAAATATATATATTATCAAATCTTATATATTGATGTTAATTCTTAAATAATAATTATTTTCTAAATTAATCTTTCAATAAAAAAATCTTCCAATACGAATAATTATTTGTATTTCACTATAAAATTTATGTGTTTTAAAATAAGTATCTTGCACATTATTTATGGTTTTCATTATTAATCATGTTCATTTATTTTTATATTTATCATAATAATATAGTCTTGGTGTTTTTATATCTTTTTATAATTATATATTATATTTATTTTTGTAAATTTTGCTTTAACCGATGTCGCTTTTGCTGGTCAACCAATAATAAAACTCTTGCAAATACATCCGTTTTTAGCAGATAAACTAGTCGTTCAAAACGCGTAATAACATTTAGAACGGCAAACTCCCGCAACTGAAATTGTACCTACAAAATTTAAACCAGTCAAGGAATACGATGCAAAATTAAAAATTACGATGCCTTTCTTTACAATTATTTTGAATTACGTTTAAAGTTTTTGCACATTGATTAAGTAAACAATTAAATTCTGTGTTGCCATTGATGACATCATTTTCAATAAAGTTTTTGAAATCCATATACAGGGTCTGATTGGTAACAAGCTGTTAGCTGTTAGCTGGAGCGGTTAGCTGGAGCTGTTAGCTGTTAGGGAATAGTGCAAAGTTGTACAAAAAAATAATACACTAAAGCTGTAAAAAAAATAAAGCAGAACAAATTTTTAAAATTTACTCTGCTTGGAAACATTATAGCGGTACAAATAATAAATAATATTAAGAGTTTAGAAAAAAAAAATTACATAGAAATGTATTTTTATATATAATTATATATGAAAATTTAAAATTATGTGATGACATTTAAATGGTTATGAAAAAATTAAAATTATACAAAAACGGTCCGGTTATGGTCCAAAATACGGTTATGGTTAGCTTTTGGTCATGTCTAGTCGAAACCGTTAATTAACGGTAAACATATGAAAACCGTTATTTAACCATATGGTTAACCGCATAGTTAAAACTTTAAAAATATAATTGTAACTCCATATAATGCAAAAACAATTATCAAATGTTCAGATTAAGATTTTTAAAAAAGTAAATGATACTGCGTATGAAAAAATCTACGTTATAAAAAATGGTCTTTTTCTCAAACAAATATGTTATACTGTTATTTTGCTCGAAATGAAGAAAATTTGCTTTGTAACATACTTTTTGATTTTATGAAAAGTATTATAATAAGTTAGGTAACTCGTAAGATTTCGCCTCCGATATTAACCGTATTGTAGTCATCAAATAACTATAACCGTAATTATCCGTAACCGTTGTAACCGTAACCGTAACCGTTATAACCGTATTTAACCGTAACCGTTATAACCGTATTTAATCGTAACCGTATTTAATCGTAACCGTATTTAACCATAACAGTATTTAACCGTAACCGTTTTAATTTGTTTTTGTTTTTGTCCAAAAAAAACTGTTTATGTTATAGTGTACCGCTTTTCATAAAGTTTTTGTGATTGGTAACTGTCAAAACTGTACAAAGCTGTTCAGCTTTAAAATAGGTTACCATTCAAAGCCACAGTCTTTACTTAAAAACTGACTTAACAAAAATGGTTAAAGAAGAAGAAATTATAGGAGTCTTTAAGGATTCAATTTCGGCGGCTCGCTCAACCCTATAGGTTGGACATGACCTGCACCCCTTAACATAAAGTCCGGCTCAAATCAAGTTTGACCTAATAAAAGAGAATTGGGTTAGCTAGGCTCATTGTCGGGATCAGCCCATCATCATGTTCGGCCTTTCATTCGGCTCGACCAATATTTTGACTCGTACGAATAATGATTTGTCACGAACATAAAATAGCTATTGTAAGCTCATGACGAGCTTACAAAAGTTACTTTGTCTTTGGTTGTAACGCTTCTCTCGTCAATCTATGAAACTAAGAAGGCTATTCAGCCACTAAAATTTACCTCAGCCAAAAATTTGGGCTCGATAAAGAGATTCACAGTAGGTTTTCTAAGATACTTTTTCAATCGTTGAGTTTTAGAATAATTGAACTATTTCTGCAGGGGCGGTCTTGAGTGGTGTTGGCCCTAAAGTGAAAACAATAAAACTACCCAATTATAAAAGATTGTAAGTTATAGAGTTTGAGGTTTGTACTTGTTAACTTGATGAAATCAAGATTAATCTCAACCACTGCTTGATTTTACACTTTTAAAAGAAATGTTGTCTTGGAAGTATTCGTATATTTTGTGATCCTTGCATAAAAGCATTTGAAAAGTTTAGCAGATCTCTAATAAATTAAGCTTTTAAGATACTAAGAGTTGAGAGAAAAGGAAATGATATTCGTATAATTCTTCTTTTAATGAGTTACTTTGATGGCCAAATGGCCTTTTTTTTTGCAGAGAACGACTGCCAATGGGCTTTGTATCTTGTACCAGGCCAAGCTTGAAATTTCATTCAGGCTTATGTTGTTATGTTGTTTCTTGTGTTTGAGTTATTTTGTTTTTTTGTTTTTTTGTTGCTGTTGTTTCACTCGAGGTCTTACATAATAGTATTGAAATGCTCATTAAAAATTTTAAGATCAGAGATTTAAATTGAGCATTTCAAGACCAGAGATTTAATATTCTTAAGTTTCCTATAAAACCGTAAATGTTTTTGTTCCCATCCTACATTTGTTGCTCAGCGTAAGCAGTAGCTCGACCGTTTCTCTAACAAAGATTTTAGAGTTCTGCCTATGCAAACTAGGTCTTTGTCGAGTCTGGGGAGATTACGGAATTTGGCCCAAAATCTCCTGGTATTCAAGAAAAAAATAAAAATATAGAGAAGTATATTTCATCAAATGGTTTTCGAAAAGACTAAAAAATGTCTTTTTGGATGAGGAAATCTTATCAATACGGCACGCTACAATATGTGCTCTACAAATAAATTAACGATAGTGTTGCATCC